TCCCCAAAACTCATCCCAGGATTCCAGAACCGACTTCCCAATGCCCTTGCCCTGCTCTTCCCGCTGGGAGCCAGGCTGGGAGTGAAATCCCTCTCCCTCCTCTGCAGACTCCAAGCCCGCATCGCCCACCGCATCCAAGAGCTGGAAAACCTCCCCGGCTCCTTGGCCGGAGACCTGCGGACCAAAGCAACCATCGAGCTCAAGGCTCTGAGACTGCTCAACTTCCAGCGCCAGGTGAGTGCTGGGAGCACCTGGTGGGGAGGTTCAGGAGCAGGAAGGTGTCGGGGTCACCCCGGTGGTCACGGGTTTTTTTCGGGGGGTCACAGCTGCGGCAGGAGGTGGTGGTGTGCATGCGGCGCGACACGGCGCTGGAGACGGCGCTCAACGCCAAGGCTTACAAGCGAAGCAAGAGGCAGTCGTTACGTGAGGCCCGGATCACAGAGAAGCTGGAGAAGCAGCAGAAGATCGAGCAGGAGAGGAAACGCCGGCAGAAACACCAGGTTAGGGGATTTCCCTCACCCTAGGGAATCGGGGGAAAGGAGGCGGCGGGGATGGAATTTTTTTTAAGTTTGCGGGGTCGGGAGAGGTTGAGTCCGGGTCGTGGTGAGTCCGAGGGTTTGGTGATGGTTGTCGGGGTGATTCGATGGGCCTTGGGACGAGTCGATGGTCACTGGGAGCGTGTGGTGGCTACTGATACACCCTGATGGCCATTGGGACCCTCCAATTGCCATCCCTCTCTTTCCCAACTCCACCAAATCTGTGATCTGACAGCCGCGTTCTCCTCCCACAGGAATACCTCAACAGCATCCTGCAGCACGCCAAGGACTTCAAGGAATACCACCGTAGCGTGAGTGGAAAGATCCAGAAGCTGACCAAGGCAGTGGCCACGTACCACGCCAACACTGAGCGAGAGCAGAAGAAGGAGAACGAGCGCATCGAGAAGGAGAGAATGCGCCGGCTCATGGTAAGCCAGGTGCAGCAACGAGGCAGCCCAGAGGCAGGAGAGGCTGGATCAGGGGTGGTGCAGCTGGATTTTTGTCTCACTGAGGGTGAAGAAGGGCACCGAGGGGTGTGTGGGGGTGAGGTTGGATCAGGGGTGGATCCAGCGAGATTTTTATCCTCACTGAGGGTGAAAAAGGGCACCGAGGGGTGTGTGGGGGTGAGGTTGGATCAGGAGTGGATCCAGCGAGATTTTTATCCTCACTGAGGGTGAAAAAGGGCACCGAGGGGTGTGTGGGGGTGAGGTTGGATCAGGAGTGGATCCAGCGAGATTTTTATCCTCACTGAGGGTGAAAAAGGCTCCGAGGGGTGTGTGGGGGTGAGGTCAGGGGTGTTCCCAGGTAGATCCCACGTGTGTTGTTCACCCTGGGCAGGCAGAGGATGAGGAAGGCTACAGGAAACTCATCGACCAGAAGAAGGACAAGCGCCTGGCCTACCTGCTGCAGCAGACGGACGAGTACGTGGCCAACTTAACAGAGCTCGTGAGGCAGCACAAGGCAGCCCAAGTGGCCAAGGAGAAGAAGAAGAAGAAAAAGAAGAAGGTGGGGAAAAGGAGAAAGTCCAGGAGTGGCACTGGGAATTGCTCGTGGAGGGAGTGGCAGGGCTGGACTGCCCAGGCTGACTCCCCTCTCCTTCCACGTGTTCCTCTTCTCCATTTCTCTCTTTCTTCCCTTTCCTCTTTTCACTCTCTTTTTCTTGCTGTCTTTCATTTTTTCCTTTCCTTTTCTTCTTTCCCATCCTCCATCTCCTTCCCTTTTTTCTTCTCCTTCCCATCCTTTTCCTCTTCCTTTCCTTTCCCTCCCTACTCCTTCCTCTCCCTGTTCCTCCTGCTCCTGCCCCACAGAAGGCAGAGAACGCTGAAGGACAAGCTCCAGCCATCGGCCCCGATGGGGAGGTGAGTCCAGGCTCGTCCCACAGATCCTGGGATGGCCAGGAAGAATCCACAGGGATCATCATCCCATTCCTGCCCTCCCTCCATGGGCAGGGAGCACAGGCCACGTCCCACCGGGTCTGTCAGGATTCTCCCTCCAACCCTTTCCCATTTTTCCCAGTGAGTTCTGGGGGGGGGTTTAGGGCTGAGAATTCCCAATCCTGATCCATCTGCTGCTCCCACAGCCACTGGACGAGACGAGCCAGATGAGTGACCTCCCAGTGAAGGTGATCCACGTGGAGAGTGGGAAGATCCTCACGGGCACTGATGCCCCCAAGGCTGGGCAGCTCGAGGCCTGGCTGGAAATGAACCCTGGGTATGCTGGGAATACTGGGAATGGAGGGGCTGGGAATGGGAGGAGGAAACTGGAAATGCTGGTGCTGGGCGTGCTGGAGTCAGGAATGGGAATGGAGGACGGGGAATGGCAATGGAGAGCTCAAAATACTGGACCCAGGAGGGAAGTGGAAGCTGGGAATGTCAGAACCAGGAGGGAGCAGGGAGATGGGAACATCAGAGGCAGATTCCATTCGGAATTTCCTTGTTTTCCTCTGTTTTTTTCCCCCCCCCATCCAGGTACGAGGTGGCTCCACGCTCTGACAGCGAGGAGAGCGGCTCCGAGGAGGAGGAGGAGGTGAGGAGAGGGGTGGTCCTGCCCCATTCCCACTGAGAATGTTCTGGGAAGAACAGGAGAGGGCTGACCTCGGCAATGGCTGCTTGGCAGCACGGGAAAAATGGGATAAAACGGAATGAAACAGGAGGATAACGTGGATTGCAATGAGACAGAGTGGGAGGACAACGTAGAATAAAGTTATAGGGCAAAATAGGGCAAAATAACGGGATAAAACAGGATAAAATTAATTAGAAATTGAAAATGGGATAAACTGAGATATAAAGATTTAACAAAACAGCGTGATAGAATGGAATCTCTGTGTTGAGCAATCTCTGGGCAGCTGGGAGCACTTGGAAAATTCCCTTTGGGAAACCTCAGTTTTCATCCCGAATATTCCTGGCGTGTCTCCAAAAGGGAATGGGTGGGGAGCCTCCCATCTCTGGTAGCTTTGGGTGGGAGGGGTTGGGTGCTTCCCAGGACGTCCCTGAAGGTGTTTTCAATTCCTGGGAATCCTGCAGGAGGAGGAAGAGGAGCAGCCTCAGCCAGCACAGCCAGCTCTGCCCGTGGAGGAGAAGAAGAAGATTCCAGATCCGGACAGCGACGATGTCTCGGAAGTGGACGCCCGACACATCATTGAGTGAGCCCTTCCCTCCCTCTTCCCCATTTCCCTGCTCCAGCTTCTCATTTCTAATCATTTCCCTGCCACAGAGCGTGCCCCATTTTTTTTTTTTTTTTTTTTTCCAAATCTTCCCCAAAAAAAATGAGCCCCGACGTGGCGTTTTATCCGGAAATTCGCTGGGAAAACAACCCCGCACGGGACTGAGAGCGTTTCCCAGGAATCACCCCGACAGCATCATCCTTCAAACCTCCCTTTTCCCACCCCAAAAACCCAAATCACCTCCCTTTTTTCTCCTTTATTTTCCCATTTCTGCCCAGGAGGAACAGGGATGTTCCCTTCTCATCCATATTTTTCCCCATCTCAAGATCACCCTCTCTTCCCTTATTCCTGTTCTTCCCTCAAGTTTCCCCCCTATTTATCCCATATTTTCTCACTCTCATTCCCCCGGATACTCCCTCCCACCCTTTTTTCCATCTCCTACCCCCGTTCCCTGGTGAACGTTATCCCGGTTTTTTTTTTGTTTTTTTGTTTTTTTGTTTTTTTTTTTTTTTGGTTTTTTTTGGGGGGTTTTTTTGGTTTTTTTTTTTGGGGGTGTCCAGGAATGCCAAGCAGGATGTGGATGACGAATATGGGGTGTCCCAGGCCCTGGCACGGGGGCTCCAGTCCTACTACGCCGTGGCCCACGCCGTGACCGAGCGCGTGGACAAGCAGTCAGCCCTGATGGTCAACGGTGTCCTCAAGCAGTACCAGGTCTGGGGGGGACACCTGGACGTCTGCTGGGGCTGGCAGAGAGAGGGGGGGAGAGGTTTTGTTGGTCTGGTGTGTTGGTTTGAAAGTAAAAGCTGTGAGAGACTCCAAGTGGGTGATAGAATTTAATAGGAAAAAAGAGGAAAAAATGAAATACACGCAATAATGCAAGATTAAAACACCCACAGAGTCAGGATACAACCTGACATCCTGTCAGGGTGTTGTTGGCAGCAGTCTCATTAAATGGTGGCTGCATCCTCCTGGGTGACACACGTGGTTCAGTTGAAGCAGTGCTCCTGTAAAAGTTTTCCTCTGAAGATCCAGCAATGATGTGGAAAAGGCTCGACTTTTCCTCTGGGATCCAGTGGGAAGGGCTGCCTTGGCCTTGCAAACCTCAGTTTTTTATCTAGGTAGGAAAGGCTTGGCTCCTGGGGCATCTTCCAGTGGGATAATATAATTTTATCAGTCACACAGCAGGACTTAGTGGCCCATTAACAGAATATTTTCTGGAGGAATTGGGTTGTGAAAAGATAACGATGATCATCCCCCTGATTTTATCAGAGGATATCTCCCACATGGAAAAGGATCACCACCCCTCCCACATTTCAACAGATGGTGATAAAAAACAGATTTTTTGCATTGTACCCCAGGACATCTGGGAATGGGACAGTGGGATAAAAGGAGCCAGAGGTGGGAAGGATAATGAATCTGAGGTGGTGTGGGATAAGAAAATGGGAATGGTGTGGGATAATGAGCTGGATTCAATCCCTGCTGAAATTCATGGAATATCCCAATTCCTGCATCTCTCTCTGAATTATTAACCCGACCTCATTCCGAGCTCATTTACATGTGCCCAGGTGTGGTGGGAGGTGGGGAAGGGGCCTCTCTCCCACTCCCATTCCCACCCTCCTCATCCTCATCCCTGCAGATCAAAGGCCTGGAATGGCTCGTGTCCCTGTACAACAACAACCTCAACGGGATTCTGGCGGATGAGATGGGACTGGGGAAAACCATCCAGACCATCGCCCTCATCACGTACCTCATGGAGCACAAGAGGATCAACGGCCCCTTCCTCATCATCGTCCCCCTCTCGTGAGTGCTGGAGCAACCTGGAGGATCTCCCTCTCTCCTTCTCTTCCCCCAGCCCCACATTCCCAGATTCCCACCCCTTTTTCCCGTGTCGTTTCCCCCAGGACTTTGTCCAACTGGGCCTACGAGTTTGACAAATGGGCTCCTTCCGTGGTCAAGGTTTCCTACAAGGTGAGTGCCACGTTCCTGGGATTCCTGCTTCCATTTTTCTTCTTCCCACTCCGAGGAAGCTGAGCTGGATTCCAGCTCCAAATCCGTGAAAATCCATGAAATCCCGTTTTGTTTTGTTTTTTTTTTTATCAGCAGCAGGGAAAACCCCCCAAACCTCCTCTCTTTGCCGTTCCCTAGGGATGGTTCCATCCTCTCCCTCCACCTTTTTTTTTGTGGGAATTCACGTTTGGAATTTTTCCCCCCCGCAGGGCTCTCCGGCGGCTCGGCGCGCCTTCGTCCCTCAGCTCCGCAGTGGCAAATTCAACGTCCTGCTCACGACCTACGAGTACATCATCAAGGACAAGCACATCCTGGCCAAGGTGAGGCCAGGGGGAAAGCTGGAGGGGTTTTTTTTTTTCAGGATATCACCTCGCTCACGGATGCTGCAAACAGGAAAATATCCCCTGCCTCGTTTATATCCAAAATGGTATTTTATTCCCTGGAGCATCTGCACGAGATGCTCCCATCCTCAGCAGCCAAAGCTGAGGTGGAATTCCTATTCCTGATTTTTGGTGATGTAGCCCATGATCCATCAATTATGTGATTCTACTTTCCTTGGAAAAATTCCTTGGATAATTAATATTAATTGGATCCCCTACAAGACCCTTGTTGCCACATGGTTCAGATCCGTGGCCACGGGGCGAGGACGGGTGGGATAGAGCACTGTGCCTGTGGAACAATACTTGGATAACTCTCCAAATCCCAACTTTTGGGATTGATGGATTAGAGCCTTCTCCTCAGTGGAGCTGGAATCAACCATCATGGCAGGGATTCCCATCCCACTGCGGGTCTCTGTTGGTGTGGGGGAGCACACTCAGCATATTCCCCTCTCAAAACCACCGTGGGCAAACTCTGGCCACATCCAAACCCCCTTTTATCTCCCCCCATCCCTGCCCCTTTCCTGCTCCCCACAGATCCGCTGGAAGTACATGATCGTGGATGAGGGGCACCGCATGAAGAACCACCACTGCAAGCTGACACAGGTGCTCAACACCCACTACGTGGCCCCACGGAGGCTTCTCCTCACTGGAACCCCTCTCCAGAACAAGCTCCCAGAGCTCTGGGCTCTCCTCAACTTCCTGCTGCCGACCATCTTCAAGAGTTGCAGCACCTTCGAGCAGTGGTTCAACGCTCCGTTTGCCATGACCGGGGAGAAGGTGCAGGAAAAGGGAAATGTGGGAGCAGGGGCAGGGGGGCTGTTGGCAGCTTGGGGTTGATGTTAATGGGTTAGGAAGAGGTTGGAAGTGTCCCTGGAGCTCTGGGATGTGGATGAGTGTTTTTAATGGATCTGGAGAAGTTGGGAGTGGCTCTGGAACTGTTGGATGTGCTGTGGCTCCAGAGTTGACTGTGGTGGTGTGGGAGGTGACTCAGTGTCACCACTGAGGGCTCTGTT